CCCAGAAAGGAAATAGCGGCAATGACGAACGTCATTTACGCCACACTCCGACTACGACACCTCTCGTATTCCTTCAATGACGTCACGGTCATTATGATCCCAAACAAAAACCCCACATTCCCGTACAATCATCAGCCGATGACCAAAGTAGTAAGAGACGTCATCCTAAAAATACTTGAGGAACAGAGCGAGGAAGTGAAAATCCCACCGGACGAACAGTTCGGATTCAGGTCAGAACACCTACGAATCTTGAAGTCCTAATGGTGGTTGACTACGCGACAGAAAATTTTAACCTAGTCTAAATACACCAGACCAATGTTCCGAGACGTCTCCAAAGCGTTCGATAGAATCTGGCACGATGGAGTGGTGGTCAAAATGACAAATTTTGGCTGCACAAGAACAATGGTGAGACTAATCAACTCTTCTCTAGCTGACCGACGATGCTAATGCAAAGTATAGTCTATCCATTCCCAATTGGAACGGCAATAAAAATAAGAGTACAGTCATAAACATTTCTTGCCTGTGGCCCCTAGTCGCCCAGATAGTTAGTAAACGTGCTATCAAATGTAGTTGAGGAATAAAGGCTCGGCTAGCTGGACTGGCTGAATACTAATTTTTTGTCCATATTGTTTTGCTCACGAAGAGTATTCAACAAGAACCCCAAGAATTCGGAACAATACTCTTGTTCTCCAGGAAATCGGTTGGAGGGAAAGATGATATCTTCTTACGAAACTGCAGCTGCATGAACAGGTGTTTGAGTTTGATGAATAAGTAGGAAACATGCCCGTTCTCGTTCATCATTAAAAATTCGTTCTTGAAATCATTATTATGCGAATGTGAGGCACTGAATCACAGGAGGCAGGCAATATATGGACGTACAAAATTACGCCCAGAAGGATATGACGAACATCCAACACGGAACCTGTACAAACTAGTACAGGTAACGAGACTGATAGAATGGGTGTCATGAGGAGATGGGATAATAAACGCAATAAGCCCAAGAGGCTGCAGTGTTTTCTGGAGACTTGGACTAAATGGACAAGTCAGACAGCTCCCAAGGTACAAAAAAAAAACCTCACGAGTGGTTAATCCTTTTAATCTGCCAACACCACGTACAAATATTCTGAAACGTTCACCTCTGCATAACATGTTTATCAAATGGAAGTCAGCAAGTTGTCAGTCGACATTTTTTACTGTTCCATCTCTGAGATTAGGTCTTTTCACTTCAGCTAATTCAATATGTATTGGTTTTGCCTTACAACTTATTGTAATTGTATTGTATTGTGATTTGACTAATATCCCTGTTCTTTAGTTGGGTGTAACCTGAACAGTGTATAAATAAATAAATTCGCCATATATTTGTGCAACCGGGCTAAACTATCACAGCAGAGTCCTTATGAAATTGATGAAATTACGTCAGCAGCAGCCGGCAATGGTCAACAGAAGAGGTTCGATCCTGCTCCACGAGAACGTCCATCCGCAAATTTCGTAAATTACCTTTCGAAAAAAAAAAGAATTGGGAGTAGAACTGCCGCACCCACCATACTTCCCAGACCTTTCGCCAACCAACTACCATCTTTCCAAACACTTTGATGAATTTTTGCCGGTAGAACTTTCGCCAATCAAGAACAGGCAAAACGGCCTTTCTTGACGTCATCGAATCCCGAGCACACTGAGCAATGATAACGGATTATTTCGATTGAATTGAATTGGTATTCGCTGGGATATTATAGTTAGAATTAGACTCATGAAAATGGATAAAACTTTGTAAACAACCTAATACAAAAGTCTCCTGAAACTTCTCGTACGAGTGAAAATTTCGGCTATTGGTTTTCTTATAGATAAATTCATTTGTATCCCAGCGCAGTGAGTAGGTATTAACGTCAGAGATGCATTTCATTAATTCGGACTTCCATTGTCTAATATGATATGAATTGATTTGAAATCCTGAAAAAATCCTTAACAAATTGAAAAAGATTAGCTGAAAAATAACAATTATATCAAGCAAAAAAAACTGAAATTTCAATGAAATAAAATACAAGCAACAACCAAAAAAAAAAAAATTGAAATATCAATAAAAGCTGAAAAT